TATTAAATCTAAAATAAATTAAATAATATTATAATCAAAATTCTATTTATTTACTTAAAATTTATTAAATTTTATTAAATAAATATGAAGAAATAGAATATTTTTATCGAATAAAATAATAATATTTAATTCAATAGAATTTTCATATTGGCTTTTGTTTAAGTAATTTTTTTATTTTTCATATTATAGTTTAATGCGTTGCTCACTCTTTTTTCAAAAATTTCAACATTATGAATAAAATAATTAGATTTCATTTATCATGATTATCTATTAATTTTTGTAAACCAACAAACTTCTTTAAGAATGTAACAGTAAATATATCAAATAAGAAAAATAAATTAAATAATAAGAAAGATCAAGAAAATTATTAAAAGAAGATTTATAATTTTCTTTAGAAATATTTTTCTCAACTAAAGTCTTTCTAAATGATTATCATGTATGAAATCTATTAAGTTTATCAATAATTCAACAAAAACTCCCAATAATCTAATACTATTTACTTTTATCAAAGATACATAATTAAAAAAATATATAAAGCACTTCTATACTCGATTTTATTTAAATACTATCTAATCTTCAAGCACTGATTTTTACTTAAAGTGTTAAATATTTAAATAGAAAATAATGGAGGATTGAATCATATCATTTAGGATTACTTTTCATTTACTCTTAAATTTAATCTATGCATATTGAATTGATCTGTTCATTAGTTTGAATGATGTCGTACCTGAAAGAAGATATTAACCATAATGTTTTCAATATAAAAAATATTAATTTTTTGTTTTACATTACAGTCAATTGATATTAAATTAAGAAATTTGCAAAACTGATTGAACTACTTCATTTAATTTTAATTATATTCATTAATGTATATCACTTTTTGGATATTCTTCTTTTAGTAAGTCTTACTATTTATCAATCCATTATTGAGCAAATGATATTGCAAGTCTAAATGAAAATTATAGTATCCAATATAGAACATTATTTTTATCACTGATAACTGAATTTTAAATTCAATATACAATATGTTTCTGATTAACTCTGATCGCTTAATAAATTAATAATATTGGCTTTTTTTGATAAAATAAAAGTAATTTTGCTATATATCATTTATTTAATAGAATCTCTACATTCATTCTTAATGGATTTGTTACAATTATATGTTATATATTGATCATCATCCATATTATCTAAAGTATTTTAAAAATAATAGTACTTAATAACTCTTGGTTACTATTATGAATATAAATAACGATTTAATTTTCAGTTTGGAGAATATTTTGAAATTTCTAAAATGTATAAAATACCATATATATTTGTACTTCAATAAGTTTTGGATATTCCAATTATCTGAATAATCCTGCGAAATACATTCTATTTTTAAAGATAATTTTAACTCACCTCAAAATTTAAAATTTTATCAGATTTATTGTCACTTTTTTATTATCAAGTATTCTAAAACAAAAATAAGTGGAAGAATTTTAAAATAGTCTAATAAAATGAAAATTAGTCTGAATAAGTGATAATTTCAATATTGGCAGTTGAACATATTTGGTTTAAGAAAGCCAATTAACTTATTTTATGTACTAGGAACTTATTATTAGACATTTTACATTCTTAAATATTATTTATATAATCATATTCAGGTTTATATAATTAATAATCATTTCATTGATACTCAATTTAATAAATTTAAAAATTCTATTCTGTCTTTTCCCACAAAATAATATATTTAGCATCAATTGTCATAATTCCATATATTGAATTATTTTAAAATTTCAATTTTGTTGAGATTTGATATCTACCTTGAGTTTATTTTGTTAATAAATAAACATGAAATTTATGTCTTATTAATATAATCTCCTTCTCTTTGTTAAAAACAATTGGAAGTAAATTCAAATTGTATACATCAGAGGATATAATTAACTATTATTCTTTTTCTTTTTATTCTACAAAATCTCCATTAATTAATTCAAAATAACTTAGCCAATCCTTCCCATTTTACATTATTATTATTGAAATTAACTTTCCATATTTTAATTGATTTATCCACATTTCCAGAAAATAATGTATTCTCTTTTTTACATAATAATAAACATTCAATTCAATTAGTAATTATAAACTGTTCCGTTCTTAACCATTAAGTTGTTTCCAACATCTGATTGTATTATCATTTGATCCAGAAATGAAACTATTTTATAATTTGCTAAAAGTAAACATCTAATATTCTAATTATGTCCTTCTAATTTTTTCACTTCTTAAAGCTATCCATCTTTAAAATCCCATACTTTAATATATTAATTACAACCAGAAACCATAATTTATCCAGTCTAATTAAAGGCAATGGAATAACAAAAATCTAATTATTTTTATTGATTATTAATAGGTTTAAGAGTAATTTTAGGCTATTAAATTGAAATAATTTCTAATAATTATTCTTTAGTATCAGTTATATATTTTCTATAGTCTGAATTCAATTAAGTTAGTTATAATTAAATCTTATTAATTGATGTTTTATTAATCTTTATAATAGATTGAACGAATAATTCATAATCGTTTTCATGAGATTGTGATTAATTAATATAATTATCTAATTCTTATATAAAATTATAAGAATTATGAACTTACTCTTGAGAAATAAAATCATCCATCCAATAATCGAAAAATCTTTGAATTGAATCAATAGTTCATGCATTCACTGCATAATAGTCTATCATTCATTTTTACATCTTTTCCTATATATATTGCAATAATAGGAAGATCATGATTCTCAGAACATCTTAAGGTCTCTTTTTCTATCAAATTTATTTATATCATTTAATTAATTATATTAATGTATTATTCAAGTCCCCAATTACTAATATTTACTTTATTTCGTGTAACAATTGATTTTGTTTAGGTATATTTATAATATTTTTTATTTTTTAAATTGGATGCCATGAAAAAATAACGATTAGAATTCTTAGTATTGAATAAAATTAGTATGTTTATACAAGAAAAAAAACTTTCATCTCAGTTTTTTTCATCTATATAAAAATAAAAAAATAAATAATTATTGAATTAAGAAAAATAGAGAAGTTTTAGTAAAAAAACTTTTTCAAGTACTAAATAAATCTTGAATCTTAAATAGTATCATTAATATTAAATTATATTTAACCTAATTTTTCTCATGCCAAAATGATTCTAATTTTTAAAGAAGAATGATGATTAGATTCTTAAATAGATATGTTATATAATTGAATTAATCTGCTGATTTGTCAAATTTGTTTATCTAAAGATAAATTAGCCAAAATCCTATATAACACTCTAATATGACTTTTCTAACATTCGGTTTTGATCAATTATTAAATATTTTAATATAAGATATGGCTAATACTCAAAAACTCTATGATATACTGTAGTTCATCTCTTGTTTTGTTATTTTTCATTGTTTTTAGTTTTTTAGGAATATAATATAACCTATAAGTTGCTTCTTTACTTTCAGTATTTTTGATGGATATATAATCCCAGTTTAGATAATCTTTCTTTATTTTGCTATTCTTAAATTGATAATAGATTATTGTTTGATATAAAGTCATCCACTTGTAGAGTTTAACATTCCATTTCTTATCAAGTTTTCTCTAAAAGTAAGATGAATATCTATGTCATTATATCAAAATATATATTTGATAATTTGTAAAAAAAATTATCAGCTTACATAAAAAAACTAGATCCTCCAATCTTATATATATCTCTGGCATGCTATTAAATTTATTATAAGTTTCACTTTCGTCCTCAATAACTTGTTATTCAGTTTTTCAAGTTTTTAATTGCTTTGTTGTAAGGATATTCTAATTTCAATTAATGTGTAGATCATCAATAATATCTCTTTGTTTTGCTTAAAATATTCTTTAGTTTATTTTTAAATTTAAGCAAATTTTCTCAGCAAGGAATTCAAAATTACTATGTTTAAATATCTTCTTTTTACATTATATAATTATAAATAAAATTTATCATTGCTTCTTCTAGTAAGAAATCATAATTTCTTTTTTAAATTAATCCAGTCGTAATATATGATAATTATTTCTCAAAAGAGTTCTAAAAATAATATTAATTATTCATGAATTATTTAAATTTGAAATCTTTATGTTTCTAATTTAGAGATTAACTAAAATAAATAATCATTTTTCTAATTCGTTTAGCCAATCAAAAATGTTCTTTTATTTTATTTTTAGTTCCAATTCCAACATTATATGTACTTTCATGATATCATAAAAAATACAAAAAACTTTATAGTTCTTTCAAAGATTATTATTAAATATAATCAAAATAAGAGAAAATTTATACTATCTACAATTTCATACAATAACTTCTTCTGCTCTTAAATATATGCATTTTAATGATAGATTAAAATATAATAGGCTGTAACTTAGGCTTATAGTATTAAGATAAAGAAGTAGATTTTTGTTAAAAATATAAAAATTATGTCTAATTAATAGCCTCCTTTTTAGTAAATTTTCATTTGATTAATTCTGTCCTTAACTAATCTCTTTCTAAATTATTAACTCTTGACAATTATAAATTTATTTTTATTTTTAAACTCTAAAAATCCTCATAACCTATTATATCAATATTCTCTTTAAAATTTTCAAAATAACCCCATATTGCTTCTGTAAATTTGATCCTTAACTTCCCAATATTGATTTTGAACTTCCATTTCATATTATATATTTTCAACTAATTTATTTGCTGATGGTTTATCTAATTTACTTAATAATTCAAAAGAGACTTTATCACAAGGTAAAATTTCATTAAATTATATCCTTATAAAAATATAGCTTCTANTAAAGTCATCCACTTGTAGAGTTTAACATTCCATTTCTTATCAAGTTTTCTCTAAAAGTAAGATGAATATCTATGTCATTATATCAAAATATATATTTGATAATTTGTAAAAAAAATTATCAGCTTACATAAAAAAACTAGATCCTCCAATCTTATATATATCTCTGGCATGCTATTAAATTTATTATAAGTTTCACTTTCGTCCTCAATAACTTGTTATTCAGTTTTTCAAGTTTTTAATTGCTTTGTTGTAAGGATATTCTAATTTCAATTAATGTGTAGATCATCAATAATATCTCTTTGTTTTGCTTAAAATATTCTTTAGTTTATTTTTAAATTTAAGCAAATTTTCTCAGCAAGGAATTCAAAATTACTATGTTTAAATATCTTCTTTTTACATTATATAATTATAAATAAAATTTATCATTGCTTCTTCTAGTAAGAAATCATAATTTCTTTTTTAAATTAATCCAGTCGTAATATATGATAATTATTTCTCAAAAGAGTTCTAAAAATAATATTAATTATTCATGAATTATTTAAATTTGAAATCTTTATGTTTCTAATTTAGAGATTAACTAAAATAAATAATCATTTTTCTAATTCGTTTAGCCAATCAAAAATGTTCTTTTATTTTATTTTTAGTTCCAATTCCAACATTATATGTACTTTCATGATATCATAAAAAATACAAAAAACTTTATAGTTCTTTCAAAGATTATTATTAAATATAATCAAAATAAGAGAAAATTTATACTATCTACAATTTCATACAATAACTTCTTCTGCTCTTAAATATATGCATTTTAATGATAGATTAAAATATAATAGGCTGTAACTTAGGCTTATAGTATTAAGATAAAGAAGTAGATTTTTGTTAAAAATATAAAAATTATGTCTAATTAATAGCCTCCTTTTTAGTAAATTTTCATTTGATTAATTCTGTCCTTAACTAATCTCTTTCTAAATTATTAACTCTTGACAATTATAAATTTATTTTTATTTTTAAACTCTAAAAATCCTCATAACCTATTATATCAATATTCTCTTTAAAATTTTCAAAATAACCCCATATTGCTTCTGTAAATTTGATCCTTAACTTCCCAATATTGATTTTGAACTTCCATTTCATATTATATATTTTCAACTAATTTATTTGCTGATGGTTTATCTAATTTACTTAATAATTCAAAAGAGACTTTATCACAAGGTAAAATTTCATTAAATTATATCCTTATAAAAATATAGCTTCTAATTCTTATAATTAGCTTATCGTTTAGGTTAGCATCTCTATAAAAAAGCTCCTCATTATTCAGTTTTCATCTCAGTTTTTATTTTTTTTTATTTGTTAAAACAGAATTTTGATCACAATGTTTTTAAACAGACACAATTTTAGAAAAGTCTTCATAAACTCTCCTAAAAAATAATAAGTTATCTTTATATTCAATGGCAAATTACCATAATCTTAACCTTTTATTGTTCCTTTAATAAACTTATGAAATTAATTTAATTGAAATTTTCATTTGCAATATGAACAAACAAATAGTTAATCAGTTATATGTTTCAATTTACAAGATTTCTCTTTTCAAGTTGAAATCAATCTCTTAGAACATCTTACGAATCCATTCATATCTAAAAAATAATCAGTCTAATAAGTTTAACTTAAAAAGCAGTATAGCTATCACACTTTCCACATTGACTTCTTATTATTTTTAATGGTATTCTCTTTAATTTTGCCCATGGTTCAATTTCTTAATTATTATTATAATTATTGTTTTTAGGTGTTGTTACAACTAAAATTTTAGGTGTACTTTATTTAATATATTTATTATTATTTGTTTCAAATTTTGTGAATTTGAATTATTTGTAGATTTTATTTATTATTTTTGTGTTAATGTATAATCACTCTCAATTATGATACTCTCTTTTTTAATCTTTATTAAATATAAAATCATTATAAATTTATATACTATAATATGTACATCTTTAACCATAATTTGATATGAAAACAGATAACCTTTTTGATATCTCATTTAAGCATTCAATATCAATTTTATGCATTCATTCAATCTATTGTTGTTTATTTGGATAATTATTTTTATATATTAAAATTAAATAAAATAATAATATAATATTAGCATTATAAATACTAATTAATTGTGTTATTTAAAACTTTAAATATTACATAATCATTTTGAATAAACTTAACTAGAATTGCAAATTTCTAAATATTAATTAACAATAACCTTCAACCATTTTTGTCAAGCATTTTTCTACATCCTCATCAGAATAAACACTGATTTCCATAAATGTTAATTTATGTAAATCAGCAAATCTTTTGACTTATTCTAATTATACTTCCCTTAATTCATCATTATTAATAACTTTATCAAGCTTATTACCAATAATCATGATCGTAACATCAGGATCTGCTATTTATCTTATATTGTCCAACCATTCTTCCAATTAATCAAATGTGGCCTTTTTTGTTATATCATAAACTAAATAGATCCCTTTGGCTTTTTTTAAATGACTTATATTTTAAATAAATACGGCAGACTTATTTATTTATATCTTTCCTATCCAGATGTATCCCATATTTATAGATTAATTTACTAATTATTGGATAATTGATATTTTTTTTAAGCGAATTCAACACCTATAGTTGGGATGATCACCTTTGGTAATTTTCCCAAAACTAATCTTAACTTATTTAAATTTTTGATACCTGGAACATAAATGAGTTTTCCCAACTTAAGTATTTCCAACTAAAGTAACTAATTTATTTAAATTTTAATTACTTTTGAATTATTTCATTTCCTCTGGCATGTCCATTTATTTTAAATAAAATTAATTTATTATTATATTTTGAATTGGTTTGCCAGAATTATATAGTTCATCAATTTGAAAATCTAAGAAAACTAATATTATTAGAATAAAAATGCTCGATGATTATAATTAAATTTAAATGATTTGTTAAAGTGTGGTCATTTGTATTAAATTCATTATATATGTTGCTAGTTTTATGTATTTACTCTTTATATTTTGAAAGTGTTTTTAATAGAAGTATTCATTAATATATAATTGTATAGAAACTTTTTATCTAAGAAAAATTTACTAAAAGTGATAGCTTTAGATTAGTATTCTTCATAGGTGAGAATTAATAATATAAAATATTTTAATTTAATGGTTCGAATTAAAATTATTGTGAAAAAAGTTGCTTTATTGATTATTCCACAATCAGATACTTGATTTTTCTGCATTAAATATAAGCTTCTATTCTTGAATTTGATTAATTGACATTCATTTATTTCAGTATAATGTTCTTCAAATGAACATTGACTAAAGTTTTTTAAATTGTCCAACTAAAGGTTATCATTTTATTTTAAAAATACTGGAGAGAATTTAGATTTAATATTTAAAAAATTAAATTATTATTAAAATTATTCTTATTTGAATATATTCAATTAAGTTCAAAAACATGAATGACCATCAATCCATTAACTGTTTGTATTCTTGCCATCATTCTATTTTTTAATTCCTCTTTAAATTTTTACAGTAGTTAATTAGCACTAATTTTAATAATATCTACTTTTTCTTTCACCATTTTACTATTCTTTCCTAAGACATTATAGATCTTATTTTTTAATAATTCAAATGTGAATTTATCATATTAATAATATAATATGAGAAAATCATTTATAAGTTTATTTAGAGATGAGATTTCGCATGAGTCCTTTTCATTAAGTATTGATTTGCAGATTGTTTGCCAAGTTATATTTGTCATTTATTCTATTAATTATTAATAACAACATTCAAGAATTAAATTACCAATCATATATTTATTATTTTAGTAAGATATTGTTGTTTATATTTTCATAATCTTCTAAACTCTTAAATATATTTCATACATAATTCTCAAAGAACACTCAAAAACAGGTCTTCCATATATAACGAGTTCTTCTTTTTAAAAATTTGGATAAAACTTAAGCTTCTTTTTGTTCTTTTCTGGATATTCAGGAGTTTAAAATGTCTTATCACATATTTCATTTTAATCTATAATGTTTTATTTTTCTTAAGAAATTAATATCTTTATTATCTCTTCATTTAAATTTTCAGTATTGAAAAGATGATCTGATTCAGGAATATCAATATTAAAGAGAACCTTAATTAAATCTATAAATATTTTTTCATACACCTAATTATCTTGTATGTGATTTAATAATCGTATAGATATTAAGATTAAATGAGAAGTAATCATTAAAGCACTCTTATCTTAAAAACTATAAAAATAAAGAGGAGGCCATATTTATTTATCTTTTTATTTAAAGATATTGAATTTCTCTTTATATTGACTGAGCCATTAGGGCTATTTTTTATATGGATATATTTAGAAAGATGGATTTTCATTTTTTAATATGAGGTCATAAATTAATTAACTTTAGATTTGAAAATATCTAGGAGTCAAACATTTTAGATGTTCTTATTATTTTAAATGATATTTTTAATCAATTGATAGATAGAAACATTTTTTCTCTTCTTCCTATTGAACTCCTAATTCTCTTTTCTTCTATTTTAATTAATCTATTTAATTTTCAATAGATTATATGATATCCATATCTTAATCTATTGTTTTATTTTATTTTTTTAATCTCAATTATTTTCTTAAAGAAAGCATTTGTGAATCTATTAATAATCTATTATCTTCAAAATCTAATAAATTATCATGAAATTAACTTTAAACTTTCTCAACTTTTTTCTCTTTATCTATTGGAATTGATTTGTAAAATCTATTCAAAACATCTTGAAATTCAGTATTAAATCTCTACTTTTCATCAAAATACACATAAGAGGAATTACCTAAACGAGTTAGTGTAGCAATCTCAACTTAATAATGCACTCCTCTCGTGTTACAATATAATTTTTCATTTTTTTTAAGAAGTTTTTTAAAGTTATTATTAGATGATTTTTTTTATTATTACTTGCTTTAATCTGAATGATCATCTTATTATTATAAGGAATCTAAAAAGTTTTCTGCATTATTTTCATTTAAATTTTTTGATTGAGAAAATTATGATTCATCTGATTCTTAATCAACAATCTAAATTTGGGCTATGTTTGTGTTCTAATTTATTTATCTTAATCTTTTTTATTATTATTTATTTTGTAGAGTCTATTTTTTATTACTCATTAATATTTGTTTATTTTATTTAAAAACAAATTTAAATTAATAAAACAATAATCTATAATTCTATTTATTTGAATTCTATTAAGATTATCAGAATTATAAAAGTATTTATTTTTATTCATTTAATTTTAGCATTTTCTCAAAACTAATTATTTCATTTGTATTAAAATTGACAACTTAATATTCAAATTGCCCTTTCAATATCATTTTATGTACATATTCTATTTCTCCCTTTTTAATTATATTCAATTTTTAAATAGTTTATATCTTATCTATAGCAATTTAAGATTATAAGATTAAATATTTATAAAAATATGACTCATTCTATAAAAAGTAAGACTTGTTCATAGAATCTAATTTTGTAAACTTCCTTTATTTGAGAACTCTTAATGATTATGATTATATTCTTAAATTATGATACTGAGTTGTAAATTCTACACATCATGGAATAAATTTATTAAACAAATTTTGGAAGATTTTAAGAGATATATGGTAATCGATATAGTTATATTATTTTATTTGGAGTGACCAGAGTTAGCTTTAATCATTTTAAATTATTTAAAAAAAATAAATTAAGTTTTATGTTTATTT